CCTATTGTGAAAAGAAATGCGACAAAAACTAGCAGAACTTGTGGAGAAACAGCAAGCAAATTGAAATTCCAAAGCTTTTTGTTTCCAGCATCTACCCATGCCCATCCTTTTCTAATGACTTTAGTAATGCATGACTGGTTAAGGCTGTAGAGGATAGTAGTCTTTCCTGAGGAGCCGGGGCAGGACAGCGATGGGTGCCAGGAGTGCATTTTTGTCATGAGGCTAAATGGATTTTATGGGGAGTGTCAGAACATACAATGTAAAATATTCATAACACGTCCTCCATAGGAAACTGTAGGTGGAGGTGGAATGTGGCATGACAGAAAGCAACTGTCTTTCTCTTTCTGTCCCCCCATCCCATCTCATCCGCCCCCTCCAACATCAGGTTTGTGCAGGGCAGACAACAGGCTTGGGGAACGTCTGCTTTGATTGTCTGATATCAAAAGTGTGTATACGGCTGACGTAAAGCCATTCAAAATACCATCGATAAAATCATGCATCATGCTGCCCAACTGTCCCCTTATCTGCGCATCACAAGCCAGCATTAACATACTGTGCGCTCTTCTAGTTGCAATGAAAGTATATGAATCATTATCACTCGTCGATATACACAGGGCAACCTTTTGAACGTTGTTGCCGGGCAACATTACTGAACATTTGCAGTGAGAGACACATTGCACAATCCCATCTTTTGTTGTTCTGTAAAGTGTTTCATATATGGGAAGCACTGATATTAAGAGTTTGGCCGATATTAATACTCTCGAGAATTATTTTCATGTTATGGATAACAGATACATGGCTGATATTAATGCTAAAAGGCTACTATTTTGTTAAAAAATAATAATAAAACATTGTAAAAACTCTACAAACATCACAAATTAAATGCTATGAAGTGATTATGCCTCTCAAGATTGTATTGTGCTGTGAAAAATATACAGTAGATGTGCTAAAAATGAAATTTACCAGTGTTTTCAGATTATATACATTTTTAAAGATTATAAATGAGCGATAGATGACAGGACTAAAAGATCCAATATCAAATAAAATTTTTGGGAGTCAATTTTTGTTTTTGTTTTATTGTATTGTTGTTGTATTTTTTAATGAAATGAATGCATGTATTCAGCAAGAACACATTAAACAGATAAAAAAGTGACAGTAAACACCTTTACATTGGCTATTAATCAAAAAATCCTGAAAAATGCATCACATTTTCCACAAAAATATCAAGCAGCACATTGATAATAATAATAATAATAATAAATGTTACTTTAATGTTAAGCATATTAGAATGATTTCTGAAGGATCATGTGACACTGATGACTGGATTAATGATATATGACTGGATTATAATGAATATTCAGCCTTGCATCACAGAGATATATTAGCCTACATGTCAATATTTTAACACACCTTGTTTTGTTTTTTTTTGTTTTTTAGATTTGGGGCTTTTTGGCATTTCATAGTGTTTTTTAAGACTATTAGAAAGAAAACATCCAAAATACACTTTTGTATCTTTTAGAGCCATTTATCTATTTATCTTTTTGCATCTGTAGATTTCAATTATAAACGCCGTTTTCTTGAAATGAGTTTTTCCTCCTACATTGAGCCAGAAATCTCCTCAGTAACACTTACATACACCATACTTTACAGTTTTATTCTTATCTATATTATAAAGGTTTTTTACAAAGGGGTTTGTTTATTTTCCTGATTGTATACAAAATTTCATTCCTAAAAAAAGGCAAATATTTAATTATTTTTGGCTGTTGACAGTATTTTCTGATTTGTGGAGTGATAGAAATCCACTATCCTCTCTGTAGAAACCTTAAATAAATGAAACGATTTTAAAACTGACTTCATCCAATGTTCAGATTTTTGTTCTAGAAATGTATGCAATTAGTGCATATTTAATTAGACCACACCTCATTTCCATATGTAAACATAACATTTCAGAAAACTTGTAATACAAAAACTGTTTGCTATGATTAATGTAATCAATCAACTGATGAAGTATTTTATTAGTTTTATACCCTATTCACCTGCCTCGCCTCAAAATAGAAAACGATTATTTTAAATTAAATTCATATTTCACAAATGTAATATTAAATTATGTAATACTAAAATTACGTAATATTTCATATAGCATAATTACTAATATTGACTATTAGCAATATGCATCCTTAGCATTGTACCTCATTAATAAAAAGCAATTAGACACATCATGAAATATTTCTCTCAACTCTAATGCTAAACTATTTCTAGGTTCTTATTCTGCTGTTGTTGAAGTTGAATCAAATCAAAATGCATACTAGAAATTAAGAACTGTCAAAAAAAGTTATAACAATCCTCTGCTTGGCTGAAACTTTGTTTTGCTCTGTTTTGGCTGCTCTGTCTGACAGGCGTTTTTTCCAGCGTCTGCAGCACACTAGCCGTAGTAAACAAAGGCAAGCATGCATACACTTGCACATGCTCACGGATCAGTCTTTAAGTCCTTAAGACGTTAACTATTGCTTTGCAACTGCGTGTTAATAATACATTCTCAGTCCTAGCAAAACCAACACCTTTGCAGCGTGCAAAACAACAACAGCTGATGGTGGTCACTGTCATTTTTCCACCACAAAAACAGTCTGTCCCTCATAATCCTCCTGGTATTTTCTGCCCCACCCTGCTGTATGTTTTCTCTTCAAGCCTTGTGCATAAAGATCAGGTATTTTTTTGCAGCAGACTAAAAGAGCAAGTGCATGCCAAAACAAAAGGACAAATGTCCCCATATATCGACCTCAAGCACACTTTTTCATAGTTGTCAATGTCTGCCCACACACACACGCCACTTATGTAACATCCCCAGTTTCATGTACCACCCTGAGCTCTGTTGTTCTCCCCTGAAAAGAGCAGCTGAGGTGTTTTGGCCCTACCCAGCACTTTCCTTGAATGTGTATTTGACACATGCTCGGACTCCACTCCCTCCACTCACATGTCGGGGAAGAATACTACGAGAATACAGTCATGCTCTCTCACATGCTGCTCCTGGTTGTTTACCATTTACCAGCTGCTGAGTCATGGCTTCATTTGAACAGACTGTTCCAACTTTACATCTGATCTCTCTTTCATGTCTTTTTCAACTTTACATCTCTCTTTCATGTCGTTTTTTAAAAATATATAGTTGTGCTGTAGAACAGTGACTTACATGGTCACCTTCAACACCTAGTGCACAAAAACAGAATTCAGGAGATTTGTTGTAGACGTTGTCATTAGGAATATTTGTGCAAGTCTAAAATGAAATCATAAGTCAAGAGTATTATATAAGATCTATTCCAAAAGGTGCATAGCATGAGTGACATAAAAAGGCATTGCAAAGTATGTGCCCTTAAATCTTAAATGTGCAGGGTTATTTTTTATTTTTTGATAAATCATTAATTTGTTTAACCTGTATTTTTCACAGATAATGCAATATTGGTTCACAACATTGCCATCTGGTATGTCTCTAAACAGAGCGTCACCATGAAGCATGAAGTGTAATAACTATTCACAAGTGAATTAATATAATATTTCTATGGAATTACTTGATTTTTTAAATAAAATCCATTCACACTTAAATGGTTTGACATGATATTTGAGCTAAATTATTATTCTTATGATTATTCATATTATTCAAACTTTAAAAAAAAAATGTTCTTATTGCTGTAATCTAATAATTATTGTGCAGAAAATAAACAGTAAAAGCAATTAAAAAGAAGAAATAAGAGTAGAAATAAAAGATAGATGATAGAAAGATAGAACAGAAAAAAATGAGCAGTAAAAACAACTAAAAAATAAGTGCAGAAATAAAAGATAGATAGATAGATAGATAGATAGATAGATAGATAGATAGATAGATAGATAGATAGATAGATAGATAGATAGATAGATAGATAGATAGATAGATAGATAGATAGATCTGGGGGGGAATGCGTGAAAACAATAATTACAAGTTAATCTGTTTTTTAATTAAATTAATTGAATAAATTAAGTTAATTGCAAGTTAATCTGTTTTCATAAATTCTGCCGTACCACACCAAGGTCAGATAACCATTTGTGTGACACCATTTGCTTAGAACAAATCAGTGAAGCATGTTTAATGAACAGATCCGCATCGATGGAGTGTAACATTTTGTCTGTATTTTATTTCATCTACTTTTTCCGATATCATCATTTTTAAACAGCAATATCCACAAAATATTAACATTGTGCAAGAAAACATGATTTATGGCACATCCGAGAAGAACAATTACAAAAAATAGATATATTTCTTCATAATCAAGGCAGAAAGATACATATGCATACACAGGAAAAAAGAAAAAACAAACACAAAGTAATGGGACAGGCTGAGATTGAAATCTACTGGCTAAGGACTCAGCTACAGATATTACCCACACAAAGCCTAAATCTCACCTTTCATGGGCATGAAAGAGCTCGATGGTGTGTGAAGTCGAACAACGTTAGGGGGACGAGGAATTGAGGTTAAGGTATCACGGCCTTCTCAGCACCTTAAGTGTTCTCGCTGCGCACAACGCTCACTTGTCCTGGCGCTCGCAAACAACGGGTCTCGCCGCATAGCAAGAAGTTTTCTCAGTTAAATGATTGCGGGGTCTTATTAAACCTAAGTGCGGGGAGTTGTTAGCGTACTTAAGGTCAGCGCTATACTTTGGAGCACAGTGCATCCCCACACAGGGTCAAGAGGGTGGAGAACTCAATTCTAACAAGCTAACTTAGCTTAGCTGACTTTCACAGTGTTTGCTCCAGTGTAATACCATCAAATGTGGCACAGCGAGTTTGGTGGCGGGTCAAAAACTTCACACTTTTGTAGCACTTTGCACTTTCTGTTCCTAAAGCGGACTTCAATATGGCTCTTCCTTTGAAATAACATGGTTAAGCAATGAAAAGTCAGAGACTTTCTAATGCAACACTTGAAGTGATTCAATTTTAATCCTTCATCATATAATACGGTGCTTTTTCTCCTGAAGTACCCATCTGCAGAAATGCAAAAAGACACTATACTGCTCCGTTTTGGATTGACAGGAAGTGATGTCACTGGAGCAGCTCTGTCCACTGAGCAATTCTGTTGTTCGCTGACCTGCTGGATGACACATAGCATCTCGTGACCTTCCCCCGCCTTAGTCATTCTTAATACAGGAGCTGATGATAGCATCCCATGGACCGCAGGGAGCACAAAACCCCTCTGTCCCACAACGAGACCCTTTTTCCTGCGCTATGTTGTTATTTTCCAGCATACGAAGCGGGCAGTGGGGGAATTCTGTTTTTAGCACTTATCTGAATACTGTGAGTGACTGTTTGGGGATCATGTCACATGCAAAACAGTCACTCTCGGGGGCCGAAAGACTCTCAGATCCCTGCGAGCATCATGTGCTGAGTGACATTAGACAATTAGAGTTGTGGGTTGACCTTGCCACTCATCTTCTGCATGTGACTGCTCAGGCCGAGCCAAACCCAACGGCCTGTTGCATAAGGCTGAACGTCTTGCCCTTTAGATAGACTCATGAAACGAGCCTCGAGCAAAGCCTTAAGCACCTTGTGTGGGCATTGTGTTAACAATCTGTTCCACATTCCCTCACAGGAAGCAGGTAACCCATCACATGTACAAGTCCATCAAATCCTTTGCTCGTGTCTTTTGCCTCGCCTGACACAGGACTAACTCAATGGTTAAATATGAATGATGGAAGAAACGAAAATTTTACACAAAGATTACAAAAAGATAAAACATCCACAAAAGAAAGAAAGAATGAGCTTTAGTTATCAAACACTGTACAGTTTCATACTCAATGACCAGATTCCATGTTTCCATAGAAAGAAGAAATTGGAACAAACAAATCCAAACAGCTATTCTCAAAGTTAACACCTCTGAAGATATCCAAAAGAAAGTTTATACATTTTTTTTCCTTCTGTATGGATTTTACAATCAAGTTTGGTTTCAGAGAAAAAACAAAAATGGCCTTTGCAGGGGCTTCGACTTTAAAATGACGCAATTCTACGAGGCATTTCCAAGCCTCTGCTATCAGGATTGTAAAAATGTATTATTATTTGATACCAAATTTTGGCCTTCAGCTTTCAATAAATTTGACCAACTTTTTTTTTTTGAATATCACATTAATATTTCTCAATTTTTATACAGAACTGCACTCAAGGAGGGGGTTGGGAAGGATAGTATTAGGTAAATATATTTTCTCCATTATATAAAACCATTCCTTTATAACTTAATGTTTGAGGATTCTGAAATATAGTATAAACATTAGAAGAAAAAAAAACAAAGCATTAAACCTAATGAGTTTTAATCGATAAAAAAAGAACAACAGCTCACAAACAAAACAAAAAAAGTAAAAATATTGGCAACTCTGGTTAATGTCTTGAATCCCTTTGTAAAATATGAAATGTGCTATTGTGATAAAGGTAAGCATACCTGGATTAAATTTTGGCCATACAAATCTAAAATAAACCTTTAGCTTGCAGATTCGACGTAACAATGCAGGGTTAATACGATTTACCACGTTTACCACAGTGTGACTGGGCTAGCCAGCTAGTCAGTCAGCATAACCATGACTGTCTTCCTTTACTCTCCTCCATCACCTATGGTAACAAGGTCAGCCGCTGCACTGAAAAACATGCTGGAGTCTCCGAGTAATCTTTTAAAACGGTTTAGAAATTCCAAATCTGCCACCTCCAGTTAAGTGCGTCTATATGCATGAACGTACTGTGCAGATTCATTCATCTAGATTCACTCAACGCCGGGCTACATGACGCTAGGTAATACGGATATTGCCCCTTTTTGTTTTTACCGAGAGAGCGTGGCGTTTATTTTGCTGGAGAATACCAGGTAAAAAGAATTGTTGGACTGAATTGCCCATTGCCTGGGGATGGGCATCGGTTAAAGTGGGACTGGGATAGCTGGGCTAGACAGAGTAGCTATAGAATGATGCAAGGCTTCTTGTCTTTGAAAGGATTCTCCGAGGTGGGAACCCCCACCAGCAGAGGGTCGCTGCGGGCATGTTGCTCACAGTAACTCATGAGGTCTGCAGCAGCCTTAGACACCTGAGACAGAGAAATAGGAAGAGGAAGAGATGGTGATACAGAGTGAAAATCTACCAAATATGTTCTTCCGATTTTATTTTTGTAACTTTCACTTTGAAAAGAATAGAAAGATGGCTGGAAATGATGGGGAGTAAATACCTGATATCCGGTTACCATACATGGTGAAAAGTTGTAAATGATTTAATATCTCATAAAGTCAAATGTATGGTTTTAGGAAGTATCACCATTTCATCTATGGTGAAAAACAGTAAAAAAAAAGTCCCTGAATGACTCTTCATATGATCCTATATTATGGATATTTTTTAATTATTATTTTTCAGCAGTAATGTACATTATGTTTGTGTTACTTTTTTTGTGTTCCACTTTTTAGCTGTTTATTGGATTATTTAGTGTCATATTTGTCAACACCCTTGTGGAATTTTGTATTTGTGTGTATGAGACTGACAACGTCTATATGCGAGTATTGCTCATGTGTTATGGACAGGCCACTTATGATGAACTCCGATTCATCATGTTGCTTTCTATTGTGCCACCTGTATTATTAAGGTGGTAATTAGTACATTTTAATATAAAAAGCATATTTCAGTAAGGTGATAGTTATATTATTATCACTTCATTAAAAACACAGTAATTAGCTGTAAAAAAAAACAGACTGAGGCATCCCATAATAACAAATACATTGTCAAAGCATTTTATATGGTGAATTTCTGGCAACCACAGCTACTCTTTTATACCATACATTAAACAGTTTTTCTCATTTGTGCACCACCGTTCAAGGTGAGTAAGCACTATGTCACACCGCCAAAGCATCAATAAAAAGCAAAAACGGTATTGCTATTGGTTGAAAGCAAACCTGTTTCACAGAATAATGAAACCTTCTGTACCTTAATACGTTCGAAGCCTGCCTCGATCCTCAGCTGCTCCACCAACTTCCTGGCCTGGGCTATGTTATTACTCGTCGACATTCTCTGCCATCGGTTATCGTGCCGAGTAAAATGAGAAAATTCTACAAGAAAACAAAGATGAAACAAAATTCAAATGGAAGAAGCATTCAAAGCACATAGAGTATGACAATCAAAGTAATTAATGAGAAAAAATGCTCTATAAGGTGCAAACTCACTACATACTTTTAGAAGACATTAACAAAACCTAAAAAATGGCTTGAAGGGACAGCAGGGAGTACAAATAAAAGTGTAATAATAAAAGGGATAACTCACCCAAAATTAAAAATGGCCATCATTTACTCACCCTTCCAAACTATAATGTGTTTTTCAGAACACAAAAGATTATGTCATCATGTTGTTGTTTTTTTGTTTTGTTTTTTTGTCCATACAATAAACGTCAATGGGGTCCAATGTTGTTTTGAACCACACTGAGTAAACAGAATTTTTCTTTTTGGATGAACCATCCCTTGAAGTTACAATCATATTGTATAACTTGCAAAAGTCAAGCCTCTAGAATAGTTCTTATATGTAAATCAAGATATTTGTCAGACAGCTCCGACCACACAACTACCCAGAAACAATAGTCCAGACCACCCAGTTCAGGGGCCCATCAATCAGACTAACGCTACAACTGAAAACAGGTGCGGCTGTCCATCTTCTCCCTCCTTATTTTAGGACCAAACATTCTGAAAACCACACACCCTTAACATAAAAAGTGCTAAAAAAAAAAAAAAAAAAAAAAAAAAAAAAGAGAAAATGATTTTGAAGATTTCTTTTAACTGTTTTTCAATAGGATCCAAAACAACATTGGACCCCATTGACTTCTACTGTATGGAGAGAGGGAAAAAAATATTATTTTGTGTTCCACAGAAGAAAGAAAGTCATACAGGTTTGGAACAACATGAGGGTGACTAAATGACCCCAATCCCTTTAAATACAAACTGTTTCTCATGTCATGCAATTTGCTAAATACAAGCTTTCATCCTCCTCGACAGGCTAAATCCTCCAAAATGTCATTTCAAGCATTTTTAGTATCAGCACACCCACAGAGAGGTGACTATCAAAGTAACCGCAGAAACAGAGGAAACTCTGGAGGCAGTGAAAGGTTTGGTTCTTTCTGGAGACAAACACACTCCTTATACAACCCCCCCCCTCCCCCTCCCCTCCCCTCCCCTCCCTTTGCTCCACGCACGCGCTCCCAAACCAGCGCTGCACCCCTGGTATTCAATGACGTTCCTAGAAGGGGCCATAGTTCTAAACGCATGTTGCTTAGTGCCTGGGCTTTGTCTTCTCAAAGCAAACACAGTCTCTTTCACGGCTCCGTGTGCTGCATTCCAGGAAATATGCACAGCGGCCCTGCATACATAATTGCAGCACTCTAGAATACATTGGCATATTCATTCAAACATACAGGACTCATAAAGGACGATGTCTCCCTTCACTATTTTTTTCCAACCACATCTTCCTTTTTAAAAAAGAAAACCCTCACAGGAAAACTCCTAAAAGGCACAAGCTTTGGATACACAGAGCCATAGTGTGTACCAAGTTGGCTCCATGTAGGCTGCTGGGATTGAATCTTATCTACTGAAAAGTTTTACATCGACAAAAGTGAAAACATATGCTTCAGGATGGATATAAATAAGAATGTTGCAACTAAATACTTGGTTATTTGATTTTAATAAGCAGCCACAAATTTCTAATTGACTAAGACTGCAACTGTTTTGTAGTTGGCAATCAGAAATGTGCTAGAAATGATGAATCTACAGATGCATGCATTATAATTTCACATTATGCATGTTTAATTTTCAGCTTCTATCAAGCAACAGTTGTTTTTTTTGCGTAGTCAAAGTAGAGTCTTCATCTTACTGTCCAATACATGACACATTGCGTAATCAAATATTTGAAGGATGAAATACATGTCTGACGTGAAATCGCATTGTATTTACATCTGTTAGTCTGACTTCACAAAAAACTGCTGCGATTTAATTATGTTTAATGTCCACTTGTAGTGTTCTTCAAAGTATACATTTCTAAAATTGCATATAATAATCTAATCTTAATGGAATAAATACCACTTAAGTGTCCTTACAGAGTACACTTTCAGAACTCATTATTACCACAACATTTAAAAAGTGCACTTTTTTTATAACGTCAATTAGCAAACGAGAAACTCCCGCACACTACCAGACCTTGCATTTAAAAACTCTTTATTTGCTTATAAAGAGGTTTGCAGATTGTCGACCGATCTTTTTTGGTCGTTTTCCTATGCACCTATTATCTGCAGGTGTGTGATGGTTTTTATTGATTAATAATGTCAATAAAAAAAATTAAGTACACTTAAATTCAATATGTTTTAATAATTTTTTGTTGTGCTATGTTTAAAGTACACATATTCTGATGTGTTGATTAACATATAGCACTATAGTGGGTTATGAAATATTGCTTATAAAAACAGACTAGTGGTTTTAAAAAAGCACTCTAAAGCTATTTGCATTGAATATAAATATAATCTTTAATATATTTTCATTTATTTGCATTAACAATTTCTTAGCATATTATTAATTATTTTATTAAATATATAATTTCCAGAATAAGTACTCTTTTCAAAGAATGTTAAAGTGCACTTTTTTTTCATAAAGGGTTGCTAATGTGTGGTCACAGTTTTGCATTTATTGTCATTGTACAACACACTTCCTCTACAAAAAGTGGGTTAAATCAAAGAGGTTTAGACTGTGTCACAAGGCACCACAGAGTGTGCTGAACTCCCAATGGATCTTTAATTTCTCCTCAGAGTCAGTCACATTATCCATGACTTACACACACACACACAGCTCTCACACATTCTCTCTCTGAGCTTAAATCAGGCTCACGTGCAATCAAACCATGCTCTTTCGCATAACTGTGGAGAGTCTCCTAAACAGGCGTCTCTTTTTCCACTCTGTGGAATTCTGATCCAGTGAGGATGAGGAGGAAGGGGGCACTGGAAAACTGCACCCACCCTTGAGTCCCTATGCTCTGTTTTCAGCCACATATTCAACAATAATAAAAATGCATTCAGTGAACAGATAGTTTTAATGAACTGAAAATAGTTTACTAACAATGAGCACTTTTACATCATGTATTAATCTAGGTAAATGTTAATTTCTATATGAAGAGTTCAGATGCAAAAGCCTCTAAGTGCCATTTGAAATTTTCTTCTAGAATGATCACTTTTATCAAGCTTGTATATTTAAGTTCAGTGATTTCACTTAAATGGCAATGATAATTACCTATTAATTGTTATTTAAGTGAAATTACTGAACTTAAATATACAAGTTTGATAAAAATCATCATTAAAGAAGAAAATTTCAAATGACATTTAGAGGCTTTTGCATCTGAACTCTTCATATATACACTAAAGTCATTGTTTATTGTTTATGATACCTAACGCATTAGCTAATGTTAAAAAAATGAACATATTCACTTACAGACCATACCAAAAAAAAAGATGCATGCTTCTAACCCATTTGAAATGTCCCTGAAGCACTGAAAATGCACTGATAAATCAAAGATGCAGCATGTAAACAGTGGTCAAATGAGAATCTGAAGTATGCATCATTCTGTTTGGTCACAGTCTGTGTTCTGGCATGTGCAGCTTTGCAGGCAGACGTTTGTCTTGAGTTCAAAGTGAGGTGGCAGTTCCCGCCAGCTTTCCAATCGGGCGGTAGTATTAAATAAAAAAAGCCCCTGCCTCCAACGGACACCTGGTGGCTACGTGCCGGCTCTTTCAGTAATCTCAGCAGGCTCCAGATGCTTCCTACATTCCTGCACTTTGAATGCTCGGCGGGAATACCGTATATGCCTGTTCTAAACAAGGAGGGTGAGGGAGGAAAAGAGGGGGAAAAGAGAAAAAAAAAAACAGAGAGTGCTCTGGCAGTCAACAAAACCTAACCAACGGTCCTTCGAGCCTGGCGGGAAAAGCTGCCTCATACCGACAACCAAAAGAAAAAAATGGAGCCTGGGTGATTATTCAGGCTACTGGAATTTGTGCCTGCTCATTACTTGAGCATGTGCAAATAATAGCAGCTCCATCATTGCTAATACCAGTTTATGCTGTGCTTAAACAAGGAGTTATAATAATACTTAAAATAGCTTAGAACAAAAATGCAATCAAATTCTTCATCTTTTCAATGAGCAGCAGTAAACACTATTGTCATTCGTTAACTAAAGCTGATGTTTAACGTACTGTGCAAAAGGGTGGAGTCAGTGTGTTGTTTTCTCCCTTATACTCACCAAGGTTGCGATAGATAGATAGATAGAGAGAGAGAGAGAGAGAGAGAGAGAGAGAGAGAGAGAGAGAGAGAGAGAGAGAGAGAGAGAGAGAGAGAGATAGATAGAGATAGATAGATAGATAGATAGATAGATAGATAGATAGATAGATAGATAGATAGATAGATAGATAGATAGATAGATAGATAGATAGATAGATAGATAGATAGAAGTTCGAAAGAAAGATAGTTTAGTTCGATGAATGGATGGATGGATGGATTTCCTGTCAACACTAGCAAACTGATTTGCCTCAATGCTAACACACATGAACAAAAATGAGACTAAAAAAAGCTAACCACCAACTAGTTGTCATGAAGCACATCCCTATTATACGCAAGTCAAAGTGGCAGCATCAAAACCTGCAGTTTGTCATACTGTGTCATATTGGCACAACCAGACAAAGACATCAACAGATTTATTAGGTTGCTGTCACTTTAAGAGCTCCACGAATCCGATATACTGTTACACATGCATTTTATTTCTCAACTGTTTACACTCACATCAGACACAACACTGTTTAGGAGGGACAATTATGAGATGACTTCTATGTCCATCAAATAAAAGGAGAGAAAAGAAAAAAACTGTGATAGAAAGAAAAAAAGTCTTTTTTGTGTGCAGGCTTCGGACGTCTGTTGCACACACAAAACATACACACACAGTGCACAAATATTAAATTATCTTTCGTGTCTTTTTGCGCTTGAATATTTAAACTGGAAAGGCTTAAAATCACGAGCAAATGACAAACTTGCAAACGATGCAACACTGGCTAGATCAGACAAGACACAGTTCTTTCAAATGTCGAGCGGTGTTTACGCTGGTCACAGGGCCTTATTGTCAAGCCCTCTACAGGGACGGTAAACCTATAAAAACCTGTTCAAAAACATGTATTATTTATGCAATCCTGTTTGGTGAGCGTAAGATACACTATATGGCAGTACTAAACAATTGAGTCCAAATGACTGTTACGTTCCACACCCTTCGCCGAATCCGACAGGCTCAGTCAGCTGCAGAAAAGCTTCTTACAAGAATTAGAAACCGAAAACACATAGTACAGCTTGATCAGCTGCCAAAAGAAATGCCAGAAGTGTTTTCCTCAGCTTACAGGACTTTCCAGCATAGCAGCACACTTGAAGGGGAGGGAAATGAGGGGCAAGGAAGGAAAACGAGAGGAAATTAATGGGATTTCTCATCTCCCAGCTGCGATCCAGTGAGGGAGTGTTTGCTCACGTCAGCATGTATGTGCACAGAGGGGTCACAGAACATTCGTGTGCTTGTGCCTGTGCGTCTGGGTGTGACCAGATGGGGACGGAATCTGTAGAGAGACACCGAGACAGACAGACTCATGACCCGGCAGACAGAAAAATAGACAGGGGTACAAATGACTGAAGTGGGTGGAAATTGTTTGGACAGGCTTATACAACGTGTTCCCTGCAGAACAATTACTGATACAGTTCTGGCAGACGCAGATTGGGCAAGCAAAAATACAAAGACCTGATACTGTAAAAATGAGCATTATGGAACTGTTTTGGCCTTGTGTTTTATGAAAAGTTTCCAAGCTTACAAATGAATTAAAATGATGACGATGTTGAATTCTTGAGGTCAGGGACCGGTGCAACGTCTCCAACACCCCACTGAAAAGTTTGATCAGACAGGTGGAGCTGGCATTGCCAGCCGTGTGCATCACACCGTGGTACCTACACCACCCTGTTAAAAACTTGTTTAACAGAAAGGGGAACAAAAGAGAGATTTGAAAATGCCTGAATGGCTCGAGTCAAGCCACTTTATGATAATAACTTTAAATGGTCATACAGTGAGAAAAATTGTTGCTAAGGAATTTGTTTAAACGTTCGGAGGAATTGTAGGAATGCGGTCCCGTGCAATTTGAGGTGAACGTGACAAGAAGCTATTGTGACCACAAATCCAGTTTATACAACACATGTAAGCCATAAATACTATTAATGGGATACTAATGCAACATGAAATAGTGTAAATACTTTTAAAACAGGGGTCTTCGACATTTGTATTTATAAGAAATTCTCCTTTAACATTATGAATGTCTTTTTTAATGGATTTCATTAATCAAAAAAGAGAAAAAAATTTATTAAACACACACACACACACAAAAATATTTAGAGGCCAAATGCCAAGACAAAATGTTTTTGATTTACATCATCATCAGTGTCGGCCTTATCATTTATCATCAGATACCTGGATTAAAAAAACCATTTGGAATATTCTTTTAGATCTATTTTTCCAAAATATAATGGAAATAGACACTACAAGAGAGCAAGGCCACTAACTAACTAACTAACTAACTAACCAATATATGCAATATGCTTCATTTTGTTTAAACTTACAATCAGAAAGTGAACGTGTATGCAAAAACCGACAAGTTCTGTCAAATTGCACAGTGAAAGGTTCACTCTACCAATGACAAATACTGAAAACAGATGCAAGGTTGAATATGCACAACGCCCCGTGTCTGGAAAAACAGGCAGTTAATGCCAGAAAAGCACAGAAACATGTTTCTCCAGTACCTTGGGAGGAGGCCCCTATTTTGACAACTCACCAAAGTTGAGGTTGAGGTTAAAACTGTGAGCAGGAGGAAAAATGAACGATAATCTTGCCCCTACAAAACCTGGAATGAAGGTGAGGTCAGGAAGTGCATCTAATCAAAACACAAAAAGCGTGTGTGGGAGAGCCATATCCTCTCTGCATCTACTTCACAGGTGACATTTTTCTCCAGTCATGGATGGAAAGAAACTAAAGCATAAAAACATTTTCTGCAATGACGAAATATTAGGTTGCACCAAAACCGGACCTAGAAACATGAGAAACTCTACGTGACTCAGGAGGGTGCATGAGCTGATAAACATCTGCAGTGGAACCAAAGGAAATACACTTCCTATTCTGAGAATTGGGTATTTACGAGATGCCTCAAATCATAACAGCCTTTTCATGATACACTAACCTCCAGGAGAACGTTAGGCGGTCAGATCCTTTGTGACTGAGTGACTCTAGAAGCGGGTTTACTCACAGGGTCACTCACGTAAACATGTGGTTCTAGCATGATGTGTGCGCACATTGGACACAAACAAGGCCTTTGAGGCAGGAATCAAAACCAGGTGCATAGTAATATAACCATTGTAATCAGACAGTAAACAAGCATTCAGGGCAGAATAGAGAAAGTGACTAACCAGCCTCTTTCACAACAACAGACTTCCTCCTCCGGTCTGCCTCCTTATAAGGGCAAAGGAAGCTGAATAAACGGAAATGGGGAACTCCTAGGGGTGCAACTCAGCTTACAGTAAGTACTATTGGCTCTTATGTGGGGGATTCTGGGTTGACATGGCTATTACCAAATATAGCATTCTGTCTGTTTTCCAGCTCCTTGAAGTGAGCAGCCGTTTGCACTGGAAAGTCTGCAACATGTTGAGCAAATATGACACGGGTATCATTTTGAGCTGTGGATAAGGACGACACGTGGAGGAAATATTAGCCATGTTCTTCTCAATGTCTTTCAGAGCTGTGCCAGCTACGGAGACATTGTGTTTGGACTGAAAGAGACTTAGATGGGACAGCGTGGTTGGGTCTGTCCTTGTGGGAATGTACATACTTGGAGGATGGGAGATATTTGAGATGACGCGAGACATTTGTGGTCAAGGCAGCCAGTGACGCAAGAGCACTGAGAATGTCTTTCCTCTTTCACCCTCTGATAAAACTACAGCACTGTTGGGAACACCGATAACTTGAAAATTCATATTTTTTATGGAATATTGTAGTGTTTAGCATAATTAAACTGTACACATATTTTTTTTTCATTCATGTGCTCAATCATCTTTTAAAAACATCAATGAGGGCGGGACAACAATCCCTCTCCATCAGCAGCAATTAACAAACAACAACAATCCAATTATCCAATCAATTCACGATAGAAAAAATAAGGTCCTGCCCAACATTTTAGTGCTTTTAAGATGCCATTTCACCCGTATAACTCAGAAGTAGGGCTGTGCAAAAATTAATTGCGATTAATCGCATCCAAAATAAAAGTCTGTGTTTACATAATATATTTGTGTGTGCTGTATATAATTATTTTGTATATATAAATACAAACACATGCATGTATATATTTAAGAAAATGTGTTATGCATATATATAATATTTATATTTATATAATATAGATTATGTATTTATATATGTATACAGAATTTAAGCGCAAATAATTCTTAAATATATACATGCATGCATAGGTATTTATATATACAAAATAATTATATACAGCACACACAAATATATTATGTAAACACAGACTTTTATTTTGGATACGATTAATCGCAATTAATTTTTGCACAGCCCTACTCAGAAGAAAAGATTATTGCAATTTCCGGTTCATGACATCAACCCGTCTGCACTACTTAGTGGGATAAATTACCAACGCATGACGGTATTAAAGTTGTCAGATGCTGGTGAACCAACATTTTTTATGTAATATTTTTTATTTTCATGTCATAGTTAATAAAATCAAAAGTTTTAAACGATTTAAGTTAATTTACACATCACAACATTTTTAATGTACAGTATGAAAATGCATTAGAGCTGCACGATTCAGGATGAACTGAAAATCATTTTATTTTTATTTATTTTGTTTTTTCAAATTTAGCCGAGGTTCTGAAAAATGATAAAAATATAAAAGAAAAAGCGAATTAAAATATATTTTATGTCCAATAACTACCTGAAATCGTCCTACCCCCCATTACAGCGCCCCTGTGCAGAACACCTGCAAAAGGCTTAGTATAATTTATGACTATGCAAACTATGCAAACTTGATCCAGTCTTGCGTTCTTTCCGGGAAACCCTTCCTATTTCTCTTTAATCTGATATTATAACTCCAGGAAGTGACTGTGCTGTTCTGCAGTGCCACAGAGCTTGTCTATCTGTCCAAACACAACACTAGATGACCTCTGTGATGACCTCTGTGACATCTCACAAGTGGCAAAGTTCTGCTGATACCCTCCCCCGCTGACCGCTGCACTGCTTTACTTGAATCTGCTCTCCATGACGCACTTTACACGCATCTCCTGCGAGCTCTATGTGTACAAACAAGAGACACATTAGCATGGTTCAACACGCGGTTCAGCTAATGTTCTCCATTCCTTCTTCAAATATTAATACAGACCTCTTCAATGACTATGACATGGTCATAGACAACAAACTAATAAACTCTTAGTGCTTTATTGCAGCTTGACCCACGCATTGCAATGAAAAGCTGCAATGAAGCCACTCAAGGGAAGCATTCTCCTATTGTAAACATGCACAGCTGATTTGTGATTTTTAAGCACATATGATGACTTGGTGATGATTACATAATTTACAAACAGTTCAGGCAAATCCAATGCCAGGAGAACTCACAAACTACAACTGAACAGACAAACAGAGGGTCTAAAGATAAGATTACAATTTTTTTTTTAATACAGGTATGTGAATCGATAGGAAAAAAGCCCCTAATAAACCCCATGGGTTTATGTACACCAGTGATGTTTATTGCTAACTATTTCCCAGCCATTGACGAAATTTTACATAATTTATGACAGAACGCTTTCCAGCCATTGACTACATTTTTCGTAGAGCCCGACCGATAAAGGATTTTGAAGGCCGATACCGATACAAATATTTGATGGTTTTAAAATCCGATATTCCGATATATCGGCCGATATATATATAATTTCTTCTTTTTTTTTTTCAGAAACTCGCAACAAAACATTTACAGATTTCCCTAACATTAGTTATTTGTAGTTATTATAAGTCCAACACTCATCACATGGTTTAAGCGTGTTTCGTCCGTTTTTATTTTATTTTTGAAATATTCATTTATCGGCCATTACAACTGCCGATACCGATAGTTTGGAAAATGCCTAATATCGGCCTGCCGATATATCGGTCTGGCTCTAATTTTTCGGCAATCCACGTTTTCACTGCTATTCGGTAGAGGGTGCTATTCACATCTTCTGAAAGAGTACAGAATCTCAGGATCAAAACACAGATTAAGAAGCAGAAAAAAAGCATTGAGAAGGAAAGATTTAACTAAAACTATCAAACATTGTTTTCATTAATTAAAATAAAACTGAAATAAAAAAGTAAATATTAAATGAAAAACTTGTTTGAGTTTAAGATATAACATAACATATAATAGTATTAACTAATAAAAATTACAAGCATACTGCAAAATTACTAAAACATGATAAAAATTAGAAGGAAAACAGAAAATATTAAAATAAAAGCTATTCAAAATATGAATAAATAATATAATAATATATAAATAATACTAAAATAACATTGATGTGCAGACTCTGCAAATGTATCTACACATTGATTGCTAAAATTAGTGTACAATCAACATAAAGGAAGATTAATTTCCATAAAATGTGTTTAATAGTGTCTTCTAAATGCTAGCGGTGCTTATAGTGACTTCAGTTAAACAAATCACGAAAAAAATAGTGGTGCAAGCTTATTATAAGACTCATTTCCCAAGACTTTTTTTTTATTATGTTAGCAGAGAGTTCATTGTTTTTGTGCCTTTCGAAAAGCATCCATCTGACGCATGTGTGCATAGACCAACAAATAGCACAGTTCCCATTCCAGAGTAACTGACTTATCTGTCATGTAGTCGAATATAAGTCACTCATTAAAATTCCTACGTTTAGGTAGAACAAGTCATTATTGTACGGCAGACGTTTCCTAACTGAAGCACATGGAATCAATATCACATGACTTGTAATGGAGACAAATCTTGATAATTATACGGCAGGAATGGGGCCAGCTTTAATAAAGTGACCATTCACTAATGTCACAGTTTTATAAATGGTGACCAGGGGGGTGAGAGAGAATGAGAGGGAACGTTTAGAGTCGGTCTAGGGTCACTCTCTGCGTCTGTCGATACCTAAAACAGCAGGGCATTAGGGAGATATATATACGACAGGCCGTTTCACACCTCTGTCGTGAAACTGCGTAAAGCAGGCGGTTCACATGCATTTCTGACCTGGTCCCCATCGAACTCCCACTGAGGAGGGCTGTTGCAGATATCAGCTGCACAGGTGTCAAACCTCACTCCTGCTTTCCCAAACAAGCCACCCTCAGTGCAAAGGGTGTAACAGACTTCTCTTTCCAAACAGGCGGGTGCATGTGGTAGAGAACAGGGAACCAGGACTGTTTACGTGCAAAGAAAGGACCAAAGAGGAAAGGCTGCTAGGTTGATCCAATTAGATATGTTATCAGGACAGGTGACTAGGTGTGAAGTATTTTTGTTGATGAAGGCAGTCAGAAAAAAACTCTTCCAGTCAATGTTTTGACTAAAAAAAGTCAATACACATTGTATACATTATTGTACACATTGGACATTAAATGCCCTTTCTCTTGCCTTTTGCATTGCTCAAACTAGGGCCGCACAATCAACTATAAAAATGACAAAACATGATTATTTCAATTGAAATTGAAACGTATGACTAATAAATTACTAGTAAATTATTAAATGTATTGCTAAAATATTTTTATTTAATTAAAATATTAAATTTTCACTCATGCAGTCCCAGATCAAATTGAAACCCATGAAAAACTGTTTTTTTCCTGAGCATTAATGTATGAGTGCTAAACCTTTGGCTTTGGCCCTGGTTTGCAGGACAGGACTCAGTGCTGGGAAGCCACACCTCTACCCTCAAATCTTCCACATGTACAGAACGTGGAAAGGCCCTTAAATTAGGTCAGTCACACTCTGGGAGCTTAACCTACTTGCTTAAGTACAAGAGGAAAATTGGATTTACCACCTCACCCACATATCTGCCCAGCCTTTAAAGGTGCCGAAAAGAAAAGGAGTATGATTAGTAAGTTCGTATAAAAGAGCCATAAAAGTGAGTTTGTTGTTTCAAGTGTTTGGCCGTGGGACTGAAAAGTGTGTTGGTAGCAAAACACCCAGGTGTCAGTTGCAACACCCCGTACCCGTGACTGTGCTCTGGTGGGAAGAGTATGCACTCAGCCAGGATTCCTTCGTCTAGTCAAGGGAAGGGTCAACTTGTGTCAGACTTGGGTCAAAGTTGAGTCCTGTGTGCCAATGGTCACGGGCCAGTCACCGCAATATCTCCCGCTGCATAACTAAACTCGGCACACCTGTGAAATTTTCTGTCTAATTTTTAAACGCCTCAAATGTGAGAAAGTCTGCTAACTATTCACAAGGGCATCTATGATCACAATTACAAATTCACAACAGATTTTAACCGGCTGAGGAAATTTCCCTGAAAGACACTTTGCTGTCAGGACAGATAGAATTATACTATTATACTACTTACTGTACATACTGAATCCTGCTTTTTGTATGCAATAGCTTGTGAATGTAACAAATGTGTTATAATAATAATTAATATACCTATAATACAATAAATTACACTATGTATTACTTGATATTTTAATGTAGAGAATAAGAAAACGACATGAATTTATATTATATACATTTTGTATTACATTACAATCATTTAAAAGTATTAATTACATTTACAATAAAAGTAAGATTAATTATTAATAATACTTTTTTGTCTCCAAATGTCTGAACTACATTGAGTACATTGAGCCTGATCCAATAATGAGAAAGAAAACATATATTAATACATAAATAGCACTAGCAGTGCAAGGTCGAAACAAGCACATTGCATTGTGGGATACAGTATTGTATGGGTTGTATGCACATTTTGGCATGCATTATATAACCCAGGCTTTCTATGCAAACAGTAAACATAATGCAG